GAGTGTGTGTGTGTGTGTGTGTGTGTGTGTGTGGATTATCTTCCTCACATGACTTAAATATGAAACACTTCAGGGCTCAAATGCCAAGAATGAATCATGAGCAAGATTTCATAACATACGAACACTCATTACCATTCAACAATTAACCTGCAGTGCACTCTTAAAAAACAAAGGTTCTTTATTGGCATCAGTGGTTCAGATTCAGTTTAGATTTTTAAAATGTTCTTCAAAATGGTCCCTTTTGGAACTGTGCACTGAAAGGTTATTTTGGGAACCAAAAATGGTTCTTCTATTCTATGGCAAACTTTTGCAACCTTTATTTTTAAGAGTGTATAAACATCTGACGGAACAGTATCCACTCATGTAAGAGTTTTTAGAAGAGAAGAAGTCTCAACATAACTAATGTGTCTACATATCATGTAAAGCTCTGACTGAGAGTTTGGAGGCATCAGATTAGCTTAGTTTTGTGTCAATTAGAAATCGAGCAGGAATACAGTGCATTTACTGGCTCAATGGACTTCTGCGTCAAAGGGCTTTCAGAGTAAACATGGCATTTCAAATCTTCTGTTTACTAACAAAATGAATGCCAAAAAAACTGCATACCATAAATAGGTCCTATTATTAGTGTTTTTGGGCCATGCTGAGAAAATCAAGCAAACATTTAAGGTGGTCCACACTGATGGGACGACAATACATGTGTGTGAAACAGGAAGATGCTATTCATACATGTATAATGAGTAGAAGGAGTATTAAATGTGTCAGTATATTTCACTTAAATGTAGATATGTGTTACTGGGCATGCAGACAGGTGTAACAAAAACACTTGAGGTCTTCCACCATTAGGCCATAATTACTAGAAACATCAATAACAGCTTTTTTTCTGGATCCGCTCTGTCTAACGTTATATCCACTGGTGATGTGCATTTTAATAAACATGGTTTCATTATAAACAGGACACTCTATAGACATCGCACAAATTACAGTGCCTGGAGATGCTCTTATAGACGACCTTAGACACAAAAGCCAGCAGGAGAAACACAAGCACTGAATGATTAACGCAATCTTATGAGACACAAAGGAAGGGAAAAGTAAAGTTGTGCATGGAGAAAAAAAAATCGCATTCTGGGTGAACAGGTCTGTTTAAATTTAGGTAACCTCACTATAGGTAGCTGACAAATTAGAAAACTCCTCTTACCAATGATTAATTGATGCGTGATAATGAGCCATCCACAATGCGCCAAATGCAGAATCTCTCTCGCACCGTTTACGATGTAATTACGCACGCCACGTATTGCGTGATTAGGCAGCTCCCGCTAGAATCTGCTACAGATTAAAGAACAACGCGTGCTGTCATGTCAGAAACTTATTATAAAACTGGCATTCATCTTTGAATATGAGAGAATTGAGACAGGATGATTTCTTCAGCTCCATCATCACCACAGTCTGACAGAAAATCCCAAATTAAGAAAAAAAAAACATTTTGTACATGTTTTCTTGGTGTTGTTAGCTGCTAATAATAATTCCCTTTCATGGGAACTTCGAACTGCATCCTCTAGGGGTCGCTATGGGGGACGCCTCGTCGTGACCCGTGTCTG